CTGCAGCAATCAGACACCCAAAGGGGTCAAGTCTGTGCTGCTGCAGACGCATGGCGCTCAGGATGTGCTGGCCAACATTTCGGCTATATTTGGGGCGCGCCAAGTGGCGGACCTGGTGCCGCTCAAGTCGCCCTTTGAGGCGGGCCAAATCAGCGAGGAGCGTTTGCGGGCAGAGCTGCAATCTGCCAGCGATGCAGCTGAAACCACATGCATAGCGTTTAGCGCCGAGGATGTGGAGCGACTGAATCAAGCTGGCTTTCAACTGGAAGGCTACATATCCAGCTGTCGTCATGGTGCTGGCCGATCGACCAGAGATCGTCAGTTCTTCTTTGTCAATGCGCGGCCCTGTGAGCCAAAAAATGTGCGTGTCAGAGAAAACATGAAAATCTGTGGTCTATATAATAGATAACTTACTTTTCCAGATAGCCAAGGTTATGAATGATGTCTACCATCGCTATAATGTGCAGCAGCAGCCTTTTATATACCTCAACGTTGTGACATCACGGGCCGAGGTGGATGTCAATTTGACGCCTGACAAGCGTCAGCTGCTGCTCAACAACGAGCGGATTCTGCTGCTGGCATTGAAAAAGTCGCTGCTGGACACCTTTGGCAGTTTGCCGTCCACATTTCAAATGCAAAACGTGTCCATAGCCAGCATGTTGGAGCCCAAAGTGAAAACAGAAGACATCACAGATGAGCAAAGCGCTGCCGATGCTGCAAATGAAGATGCAACCGAGCCGGATGTGCCCCTTAGCTCCTCGCAGCGCTTCATGGATGTGTTGACCCAATGGCGTCGCACCGGCGACACAAAGGGCGTGGCTCCGCCTGCGCCCGCAAAACGACGTTGCGGCGAAACGGAAGAGATTGCCGCGCGCGCTATGAAAATACAAAAGATACAGAATTTCCTTACACAAGAGTCCACCCAGGCAAGAAGCTACAAAAATGATTCGGATTCGGACGGGCACGAGGAAGTGGCTGGCAAGCAGACGAGCCCCAACAGCAGCTTTTTGAGCTTGAAACAGCTCAAACAGGAGTCTTTGGGTAAGTGCAGCAGCCTTGGGCATGTCCTTATTTTAATGCTTCTCCCACTTGCAGCCTACGATGAGCTGCTGGAGCCGACGAAGGTACCGCGCATTGATTGCAAAACGCTGACGCCCCTGAAATCGCGTCCGAGCATTGTAGAGCTAAAGACATTGGCAGCTCTAGTTGAAGAACACTCGTCGGCTGCTCTGGTCGAAGCCCAGCCGGATGCTGCATCCACCTCCTCGCAAACAACCACCGAGTACAGCGATGATGACATTGAAATGCCCACGCGCATCGAGTTGGATGGCAACAGCGATACAGAAACTGCACCGGCTAACATTGCCAGCGGCGAGCTGTGCACCACGCTCGACCAGATCGCGTCCAGTTTGCGGGCGCAGGAGCAACAAAGGGAGGAGCGTAAACGTTGCAGCAAGCTGCAGCGTTTGCGTTTCAAAAGCGAAATCAATCCGAATCAGAATCAAAATGCCGAAGCGGAGCTGCAAAAGGAAATAACGAAGGCGGACTTTGAGCGCATGCAAATCATTGGACAATTCAATTTGGGCTTCATCATAGTCAAGCTGGATGATGATTTGTTCATAGTGGATCAGCACGCAGCCGATGAGAAATACAATTTCGAGACGCTGCAGCGCAACACGCAGCTGGAGCACCAGCGCCTGACGGTGCCCCAAACGCTGGAGCTGACGGCTGTCAATGAGATGATACTGCAGGATCATTTGCCGGTCTTTGAAAAGAATGGCTTTAAGTTTGAGATCAATGCAGATGGTGGGTTCAGTTCAATTTCAATGTAATCTTAAAGCTAAATCTTGTCTTGTTTATAGCGCCCGCTACGAAGAAGGTGCGTCTGCTGGGCAAACCGTTTAGCAAGAACTGGGAGTTTGGCAAGGAGGACATAGACGAGCTTATTTTCATGCTGCAGGATGCGCCCGAGGGCACCATTTGCCGGCCCTCGCGCATACGCGCCATGTTCGCCTCACGCGCCTGTCGCAAGTCCGTGATGATTGGCAAAGCGCTCCACAGGACAACCACCATGCGCAGGCTCATCACGCAAATGGGCGAAATCGAACAGCCTTGGGTAAGTGGAAGACGAGAACATTGCACATATTAAAGCGTATATCTAAATGAATGCTAGGTAGCTATGATAAGAAAAACCTTTTGCGTATGATCGAAGGCTTCCTTACAGCGTATTTGCAGACTCTGCAGGCAACTACACAAGCTCAAGATTGTGGCAGATGCACTCTGCAGACTCTGCCTCGAGGACGACGAGACGCCAGGACATATTCTGGCGAGCTCAAGCGTCCGTAGAACGGGTCGCCATTTAATGATTAAAAATAAAATAACGCTTAAAGTAAGCAAATGTATCAAAGCACTTTGCTCCTGAAACCATGTGAAACCAGCTCAGCGACCTCGGCGACCTCACGACCGCGCGTCTCAGGCAAATAGAATTTGGTGAGCAGAAAGAGCAGCGAGCTAAACAGGGAGAAAAGCAGAAACACCCAAGAACCCATCAATGAGTGCATGGTGGGAAATAGGAAGCCAACCAGAAAATTGCAGCTCCAGCCCGTTTGATTGCCCAAGGAGTTGGCCACCGAGCGAGAAGGCACCTCGAAGAGCTCTAAAAAGAATATTCTTAAAATACAAAAACCATAAATTACAGAGCTTCAAACTGACCTGTGCCTATGAAGGAGGGCATGGCACCCAGCGCCAGCTGAAAGGCAATGAGATACAGAAAAATGCTGGCAATGGTGCCATAGATCAACCAGGGTAACATTGCCTGCCAAGAGGGAATTCAGTTACACAGTTTGAATTGGCTGCGCCCAACTTACGCTGTATTCGACCAGCAGGCCGAAGGCGAACATGAGCAGAGCACAAAAGAAGCTGGATAGAAGCATCAGGGTGCGTCTGTACAACTTGGCCATGAGCCAAGGATTCAGCAGCGATGTGGCTAAATTGACATTGCCAGCGCAAAGACTCAGCAGCTCGGCGGTGCGTGGCGACAGGCCGCTGCTGCGAAAAATGGACACGGAATAGTAGAAGATCTGTGGGAGTAGAAACTGGTTAGCTTTATCGCAATGGCAGCGAGTCTGCCAAACGAACCGAGGAGCAGCCCGTCAGCTGCTGGCCACCCTGGTAGGCGCAGAGCAGCACCACCGGCAGCAACATTTTGGAATCCTTCAAGACCTCACTGAGGCTGCGACTGCTGCACTTGCCGGCTGCCTCCTGTTCCATGGCCTGAATCTCCGACTGCAGACCAGTATTGCCGCCGCGCAAACGGACGAGCATATGGAGCGCCTGCTGGCGTTGCTGCTTCACTATATACAGCCATTTGGGACTCTCCGCATAGCAGCGATAGGGAGCATAGCAAATGGCCATGAAGACCACATAAAAGCCGAGCGCCAAATGCCAGTGCTGCTCGCCGCCGAGCAGCGCTTCCATGCTACAGATCTGAGCCAGCAGAATGCCCACGGAGAAGCCAACGGCGCAACTGGCGCCCAGTGTGCCGCGCTGCGTCAGCGCTGCAATTTCGCTATGGTACATGGGCAGGCCGGTAGAAATCAGTCCAGCGCCCAGGCCGACCACCAGGCGGCACAGCAGCAGCAGCTCCACAGACTGCAGCCAGCGGCAGCTGAAGAAACCCAGGGCCGCCAGGAGCAGCAGCGAGCCGCTGAGCAGAAAACAGCCACGACGGCCAAAACGATTGGCTGCCCAGCCGGCGCAGGCGGAGCCCAGCACGCCGCCAATCAAATAGATGGACACAATCGAGGCCCAGAGCGTGTCCAGCCTAGCGGGCGTCAGCTGCATGCCATACTTCTGCAGCAAGGTGGCCGCGCACCAGGAGCGCATGTGCTGCAAAAGTTTAGGATTAGGATTGGGACCAGGCTTGGCTTCGGACTGTCTTACCACGGCAGAATTGTTGATGATGCCCATGCAATAGCCGCCGGGCACAGCGGCGCCAATGGTGCTGCCCAGCGTGCTCCACACGAGCAAACGTGTCCACTTCGGCCTCTGCTTCGTTTCATGCTGCTCAGGCTCCATCAGCTGTCTGACGCTCTCCATGCGTAACTGTCCTGGCAGCGCAAATGTGGCTGGCTTTTTAATCAGTTTGTGGAGCCGCTAATCCCTCGAGAATTTATGAGAGGAGCTCCAGCTAAACGTCATTAACTTTGGCGTGGCTTTTAATGCCCTTGCAGAGGGCATTAAGACTTTGAAACGAAATGTGCTGCGCATTAGAGAAGTCGTCGCCGTGTAGAGAGAGCATATATATACATATATATTCTTGATCAGCTGATTGAGCTGAGTAGTGATCGAAGTGTCCGTCCGTTTCTGTGCCAGAGACTCGCCTAATCTTCAAGCTAACTGTCTGAAACTAGGTATAGTTTTGCCAATAGGTGTCGGATCGAGCCGCCTAATCATAGGAACTATCGGACAAGATATATATAGTTTTTGTTTGTCAACGCATCCTAAATCCCAATATCCAGACATGGACATGAACGTGCTTAGATTTGCTTTGATTTTCATAATATCGAATCAACATATAATGTAGCTCAAAAAGGAACAATCGGTAACCAACTTACTTTCCTCCAAAAATTTTATCAACATTGATCTATTATATCTTATAACTGCCATATATTCTATTGGTCAAAAATCCTTCTCTTGTAGAACAACTTTTTTTTTTATTTACGAATTTTTTATGGTCTTCACATGTGAGCTAAATCTTGCTAATATCATAATACTATACTATATAGAACACGGTAACATGTATTGCATCTGAAGAATCGTCTACAAATATTAATTTATTTTGTATGGACTTTTTCTCGATCAAACTTAGGAATTTCAAAAGTCTCTTTCTTTCTGGCAGCCCGGAGATATCAAGAGAAATCAGTTTAAAGATGAGTTTTTGAAAAACTTGTTAGGTATTCCAATATTTCCCATGCTAACATATCAGAAAAAGCTCATGATTATAAGATTAAATCATATAGCATATATTATATGAATAGGGCACATCTGCCATAAACCTGCAAGTGTGTTTAAACTTCGGCAAGCCGTAGATAATTCTTTTTTATTCTTATCACTGTCTGAGGCGCTTTGATTTAAAGCCGTCGGCAACCAGAGGTGCCACCTCGGATGGATCCCGGCCGCGCGTCTCCGGCAGATAGCATTGGGTCAGCACAAACACTAGCAGGCAGGTGATGGAGCAGGGCAGAAAGACCAGGGCGCCCCAGGCGTTCTGTAGACTGGGAAAGGCCATGCCAATGATCAGATTGCACAGCCAGTAGACGACGCTGCCCAGCGACATGGCCGCGGAGCGGGGCGCCACCTCGAAGAGCTCTGTGAAAGGAAAGCTTAGAGTCGGGGAATTAGTTCAATAGCAACAATAGCACCTGCGCCTATAAAGAAGGGCAATGGACCCAGGCCGAACTGGAAGACAATAATGTACATGAAGATGCAGACAATGCAGCCCATGGCAAACCAGCTGAAGCTCTCCTAGAAAACGAAAGAGGTTAAACAATAACATAATCCCAGCCGGAGGCCAGCCCACGACTCACAATAAAGTGCAGCAACATGGCGAAGAGAAACAGAAAAACGCAACAGAAGAAGCTGGAGAAGAGCATCAAGGGTCGGCGATTGAAGCGCTCCATCAGCATGGGACCCAGCAGCGCGGAGGCCAGATTTGTGGAGCCAGCGCCCAGATTGGCCAGCTCGGCCGCTTGCGGACTGAGACCCGCTTTCCGGAATATGGACACCGAGTAGTAGAAGATCTGTAAGAACGAACGTTACCTCAACGACACGGAGCAAGTGCATCCAGACGCACCGCATTTATGCCCGACAGCTGCTGGCCGCCCAGGTAGGCGCAGACAATGATCAGCGGCAGACGCAGCTGCGGATTGGTCAGCACTTGCAGATAACTGCACGGCGTGCTCTTCACCCTAGCCTCCTGCTCCATGTCGTTCAGTTCCGCATGCAGCGCCGGGCTATCCGCCGCATAGCCGCGCAGCAGCTGCAACTGTTGCGCCGCCTGCTGCTTGCGCCCCTTGACGATGTACAGCCATTTGGGACTCTCCGGATACCACTTGAAGGGCGCATAGCAGAGCACCACAAAGATGCCGTAGAAGGCGAGCGCCAGGTGCCAATGCTCCTGCCCGCCGAGCATCGATTGCAGGCTAAATATTTGCGATACGACCACGCCTACTGTGAGACCCAAGGGGCAAAGGGGGGCCAGCTTGCTGCGCTGCTGCAGTGCGGCCAGCTCGCTGTGATACATGGGCATGCAGGCGGTGAGCAGGCCGGCGGCCAGGCCGACCAGCAGGCGGCCCAGCAGCAGCAGCTCCACGGAGCCAAGCGGGCGACAGATGTAGAAACAAATGGCACCCAGGGCCAGCAGCACGCCGCATATATAAAAGGCGGGACGGCGTCCAAATCTGTTGGCGATGGCGGCGCCCGTCAGCGAACCCACAGCGCCGCCCACCAGAAAGATGGACACAACTGCTGCCCAAAGCAGCTCCAAGGCGCCTTCGCTCAGCTGTAGCTCATAGCGCGAGAGGAGCGTCTCCTGGCACCAGGCTCGCATGTGCTGCAGAGGAATGGAAAGAGAGAAAGATATCTTATCTCTTGCTAATAGATGTATAACACAATGTAAAAGGATTTATAACAGGGAGTTTAAAAGAAATTATGACAGTTTGTATAACAGAAAGTATACCAGGGATCTTAAATGGATGTATAACATCTAATAAATTAGGATGTATAACATCTAATAAATTAGGATGTATAACACATATAACTCTGTTATTTTTACTGTTATATTATGATTTATATAACAGAGAGTGTTATAACTCAGATTGTCTAAAGGATTAACATAGATAATCAATATATTATAACTGGATGGAATAAGGGGAGGAAGGATATAACACGGATTATAATATGTTGTATAAGGAGTTGTATAACAGATCACATAGAAAGGATTATAACAATGATTATGCCCAGTGAGAATAAAAGGATAAGCAACAATGGATTATAAATTAGACGATAAGAAACGAAGTCAGATTAAATGTTTTAACTCAATGAAAGCAAATGTATAACAGATGGCATAATACGGATTATAATAGTTGCCCAGTGAGATTATAGCAATGATTATAACAGTTGCCGTAAAAGGATAATGAACATAACTTGGGGGATTGCCAATGGAAGAAGTTAAATAAAAAATGTAACTGAATAAAAGGACAGATGAGATAATCCGTATTGTATGATTATAACAGTTTGCCCAATGGAACAGCTACTTACCACAGCGGGACTGTTGACCACGCCCGTACAATAGCCCACGGGCACGGCGGCGCCCAGCGTAGCGCCATACATGGCCAACTTCAAGGTCCAGCTCCATTTGGGCTGCTCATCCTGCAGGGCGAGAGTTGGACATGTGTTGTACGAGCCAAAGCCACGTTTCGATCTTACCAAGCACTTAGCGCTGTCGCCTGCCATTAGCGGTGCCTCCAGAAGCCTCAATGGGCTGGCGCCAAATGCGCTGCCGTCTTTTGGCTGTTCCATGTTGCGGGTGACGTGTGCGTGCATCTCGTAACGCGCTGGGGCACTGCTCCACTGGCCACTGGCGGGTTGTATTTCATTCGGGGCAAACCGCGCACCGTTCAGATAAGGGCACGTTTACGATGCTTTAGATAGCGAAAGGTTTAACTACAATTTTTTAAGAGTATTTAATTATTTTCACTGCAGAATTGCCCGCACGGCCGCCCGACCATGCGTCATCTAATCAATGTCACGATGCTGATGGATGAGGAGGAGGACAACAACAACGACGATGCCAATGACGGCCCGCACTAAAACGTCAGCCGCAATAAAACGTGCCAAACAATTGTCAACAATATGTTTATTAGATTTTATTGTTTAGTAGCTAATGGTTATCTGATAGATCCGAGGTTTTTTTCATGCTCACACGCTGATCGTGCGAAAGATGTTGAAGCCGCTGTGCGCCGTGGAGAGCAGCACGCCGGGCAGCTGGGCATGCCAGTGCAGCTCCTTGATCTCCTTTTGGCCCTGATGGATGAAGAGCAGCTGCGGCGGCAGCTTGTTGAGCTCTTCATCGTTTTGGGCCGGCGCTGGCGCCTGATCGGCATCCTGCTCGACAGCCAGATCCCACAGGGCAATCTGATCATCATCGCCGCCGGAGGCCAGCACCGTTGCCTCATTGGGATTCCATTCGACGGTCGTTATATGATCCGTATGATGCTTAAATGTCGCGATGGGCTTTTGCGTCTTGAACTGACGCAGGTCCCAAATGTGCAGGAAGCCATCGTCACCGCCGCTGGCAATGAAGGGCTCGGTGTGATTCCAAGAGATGACATTGATGTCGCTCTCGTGCGCATTCTCGCATGTGAGCATGCAGGCTTTCTGGGGTGCTGCACGGCAGTCCCAAATGCGTATGGTTTTGTCCACGGAGCAGGAGGCCAGCACGCTGCGCTCATTGGGACTCCATTGCAGATCCTCGACAGAGGCTGTGTGGCCCACCAATGGACGCTGATCAACCTTCCAGGTGCCATCCTCCAGGGGACTCCATATGTGTATATCGCGTCGACAATCGCCCGTGGCCAGCACACCCTCGGCACTGGGGCTCCAGTCGATGGCGAAACCCTCCTGTTGATGGCCGCTGAACGTGTAGACGGGTCGCGTCTCATTGCTGGCGCTCTGCTGCTCGTACTGCTTGAGCAGCTGGGCATCCTCGACAGCCTGCAGCTGCTGTGACAGATTCCAGATGTTCACCCTGCCCAGCTCGCTCCAGGAGGCCGCAAACACATTATTACCCATGCGGCGGGCACGCACACGATTCACACAGCCCTGATGCTTTATTAGGGCGCATGTCATTTGCGGTTTCTTCAGCTCACTCTTGTCGGCCACATCATCCTGATCATCCTCCAACTCCTCATCGTCGAGCTCATCATCGTCGCCGTCCTGTGTCTTGTGCAGATTGCTCATCTTCATCACAATCAGATTGTTGACATGGGTGCGCGCAGCCTGTGTGCCGGCTACTATGTAGGCCGTCATGGGAAAACTGTCCCTGCCCGTGCCCAGCTCATCGGGAACAATGTCGAAACTCAGGCAGGGCGCGCCCGTTGACGCCTGATGCAGCATCACATAGGCGCTCTCATCGCAAACCAGCTCCTCGTCCTCGGCCAGCGTTTTGCCCGGCAAGTAGACCTGTTTGGGCGTTTTTGTGCTGCCAGGTTCGCCATCCGCATCTTCGTCGTTGTCGCTATCGGGTTCCATGTCGCTCTCGGCGTCCTCAGGCTCGACAACCTCCATTTCAATTTCATCGTTGGCATTGTCCATGGCTATTAAATCACGTCCAATTGAAATACCTAAATTTATTGTTTTGGCGCTGCACGTGTGCAATTGGGCCAGGCAACAGTGTGACCAGTACTACAAATTTTCAAAAGGCCCAATTCTACTTAGAAGCAATGTGCTCGTATGTTCAATAAAGAACGAACTAGTGCACTCGATTGGGCAACACAACTGGAACTGGAGTCCAATTGATTGCGGAATACCATAAAAATACCAGAAAACTTTATTATAGCCTAGTGTGCGTTCAGTTTTTAGTAGTATTTGTTCAATATTGCGAGAGCATAAAAGCATAACAGAAGTCATACGTTAAATAAGTAAAACTAAAATTTCCTAATCCAAATGGCGAAAGCTGGGAATCCATTTAACATTCTGCGCAACATCTACCACAATGAGTTCCAGTGGTAAGTGGCAAGCCGTTCATTGAACATCGAACGTATTTCATTGCCGCATTTGTTTACATAACCACACTTTTCCAATTCTCCAATCCGTAGGATGTTGGTCAAGAGCTTCGGTATGTTTTTTCTGGGCGTGCGAATTGCTAAGGAATTCGTGGGCGTGGAATTGATGCCTACTGTTTTGCCGGCCTAGTGTAAAGAAACCAAATTCGCTATGTATAAAAACAATAGGGCAGTTAACTATTTATAATTAAAAACAAAAATTATTTACAAGCGTATTCTGGACAAGGTTTCTGTTAATTTCTGCTAACAATTAACTGTTTTATCTTGGACTCATCCATGTCAATCTCATGTATAAGGCTATCGGCCAGTATTCTGGGCGTCATCTCGCGCTGCAAGAAATTGGCCACCAGCTTGCGGCTGGGCACAGCGCCACCGTGTGCCAGGATCTCCGCACGATACTTCTCGCCCGCCTGCCGATTGAAGGGATTCGCCTCAAAGTACGTCTGCCAAATCCATGAGGCAATGGTCTTCGATATGAGATAAGCGTAATACTTGGCACCATAGCCCACCAAGTGGGAGAAGCGCAGCTGCCAGGCCGTATTCTCCACATAGGGCAGTCCGTAGTAGCGATTCTGCACGTCGCGCAGCGTTTCCGTCGTATTGGCGCCCTGCTGTGCAGTCTGGCCATGATAGACCTGATCCAGCGCCGAGTAGAAGACCTGCAGCTGCGTCTCGCTGGCCGCAAACAAATGCTTGGAGGCGCACAAACGCTGCAGCATATCCTCCGAGATGGGCTTGTGTGTCTGAAAGTGGCGCGCGAATGTGCGCAGCACGCGCGGATCACTGGCAAAGTATTCCATGAGCACGCTGGGCACCTCCGCAAAGTCCGTGGCGCAACGTGTGCCGGTCACATGCTGATATTCGGTGCGCGCCAGCATTGAGTGCATGGCATGACCCATCTCATGGAACAGATTGTCCAGACGCGCCGGCGACAGCAGCGTCGGACCCGTCCAGCGCGGCTGCGCCAAGCCCAGCATGACCACAACAATGGGCAGCTGGTAGGTGCCGTCGGGCAGCCGCTTGCCGCCCTGTATGGTGAAATGGCAATCTTGGTTTGGCTTGCCGCTACGCTCAAAGAAATCGCAATAGATGTAGCCCAGCAGTCCCTCGGTCTCGTGCATCACGGCCAGCTTGTAAATGTCGCTGTGCCAGCCCTCACCGGGCTCCATTTCGGTGTTTTGCAAACGCACGCCATACAGTGAGTGCAGCAAGTTGTCCAGGCCCTCCATGCAGCCGCCCAGCGAGAAATAGGGCAGAAACTCATTGGCCTGCTCCTCGAGAGATTGACGCTTGAGCTGTGCGGTAAAGTACGGCGTGTCCCAGATCTCGACCAGCGAATTGGCTAGGCCGCTCTCCTTGCGTTTCATTTGTGTCATTAGCGCGAAATCTGCATCGGCGCGCGGACGCAGCTGCTCCGACAGCTCATCGATGAATTCGCTGACAAGTTCCGGACGCTCGATGGTGCTGCCATTGAGCGCACGATGGGCATAAGTCTCGAAACCGCAGCTGCGGGCGAGCTCATAGCGACAGAGCAGCAGATCCTTGAGCAGCTCCTCCTGGCTATCGGAGGGCTGCAGATATAAACGGTAGGCGGCTTCGCGCATCTGCACATTCGCCGCATTGGTGCACAGGCCCGTGATGATGATGTTCTCGCCCGCAGTGGGAAAGCTGTTAAACCAAAAGCATGTAATAAGGATAAGGCGGAAGGGCAGCTCCATGCACTCACTAGTCTCGTATATCCTCGGGTACATTGCTGCGCGACATCACCGTGGGCTGGACGGCGCCATTCATAAACTTCTGGCCGAGCTGTAGGATGTAGTCATTGAGGCGGACCACGCGCAGGCGCTCCTCTTCCGGCAAATGTATGCCGCATTGCTCAAAGTCGAACAGAAACAATTTGGCCACATGTCGATCCACTTCGGTGGTGGGCAGAAAGTCACCTTCGTGCACCACCTTGCTCAGCGCCTGGTACAGCGGCTTGTGTGTATTCAGGCTCTCCACGACGCCGCAGATGCTAATGCAGGCCTGTTCCGCTGCCTGCATATATTTGTTCTTTGGGTGGGCAATGCGTATAAACTCGGCCAGATCGGCGACCTTGCACAGCGAGTCCGAGAGCTCATCAAAAATGTCCACCATTTTCCGCTGTCGCTCACTGGAGATGGCCTCCGCAATTAGGTCCTGCGTGGAGCGTTCCACATTTTCCCGCAACAAATGGAAGCCCTCGGCGTTGCGCAGCTCCGTCATGCGAAATAAACCCTGACAAGTGGTAGGCTTCATAATTGGGCAACTTTCTCCAATTTGGAGGAGCACTTACCACATCGTCGCGCGTAAAGTTGATGCGCTTCGCCGGCGGCGCATTAAATGCGGTGGCCAGCGGTGACCACGTGGACAGCATTTTTCGGTGCCGCCAACGCTGCAGTGCAGCATTTGCGGTATTTCGGCTAATTTTAAGCATTGTTGTTAGCTGTTGAAGGTTTATTTAAATTGTTTGTTAGCCGACTTATTACATATTCACAGCCGATCAGCTGTTTCCGCAAAGACGGAGAGAGAGAGAGAGAGAGAAAGCATATGTATAATTGACAAGCCAAAACTAGCTGTAAAATACGTGACAGTGTTGCCAGCTCGGTGCATTTATTTATTTAACACCTTAAATTTAGTAATACCAGATGGACAAATATTTAACTGGTATACATTATTTTTGTGCACACTCTATACAAAAGTGATACATTTTCCAACACTGACACTGCCAACGACTTTTCAATTTGAGGCTTAAGCAACTATCATAATATATAACGCATAAAGAATTGGAGACAATATGCAATTGCTGCTGCCAGAGAGCGCCCGAAGAGTTTTATCTATCCATTTCTCCACATGAGTGTAATTGACAAACTTGATCGACTTAACGCCCTCGCATTTCTGTGCACCACCAGCAATGCCCGCCAAATAGCCCTGACACAATATCGGAGAGCCCATATCGCCGGCACAAATTTGTCCTTCCGCAAACGGCTCCACACAGATATTGCCCTCGGCTTCAAAGTTTTCCATATCTTTGCAAAATCCATGATTACGAACGGTGACATCCAAATACATCAATTGATTGGCATATGGGCCATGCTATGGTAAATATGTGATTACGGGCAATCGAACTATGTATTGTGTTAGCTACTACCGGATAGACCTGACCCCAGCCCATGGTGATGCAGCTCATGCCCTCAACTATTCTCAGACGCCTTCGTTTTGCTATCGGCTTTGCATACCTTATATTTTCGGGCATGCGTTCCTTTAAATACAATATAGCCACATCGTAGTTAATATAACGACGATATTTCGGATGCAGCTCAACCCGATCCACATGCCGCTTATAATCATCATCATAGGCGTCCAGACGATTCAACGTGCCAAACACGACCAGTATGCCGTGCGGATTCATAATTGCCTTATGCCGGCTGCAAATAAAATGCAAATCAAATCCGAAATCCAAAATCGGCAATCGGAAGCATCTTGGAACCACTTTCGACTTACTCTGTGACACAGTGCGCCGCCGTTAAGATGGCCCGGCTGCTGATGATGACGCCGGTGCAGAAATGATTATCGCCATAATATTGAATGTACTTCAATGTACGTATAGACACAATACTCCTGGTATATTTACTGTTGTCCGGTATGATGCCGCCGGCAATAAGCAATTGAAATTCATCGTCGCTATTTCGGGTGAAGGTGCCCCGTCCGGCTGAGACCAGACCCAACGGCAACATCAGCCAGACATACAAGAGCTGGCAAGAATTCATGCTTGGCTTGCTTGGACTAGGTTTGAATGAGTATAACATTTATTCGAGCAACTGGCTCAAACTACATATTCAAGTAGCACATATAGCACGCATGCTGTCTTTCAAAAATATCTCTTTAACATATATGCTTATTCGATATCAATTGGAATTAACGTAAGTAATATAAGCTATCAAATCAGCTGGTTTTTTTTTCATATATAGAGATCGATATATATATATATAAGATAATATAGTAGGGGATTATATATGAGAGCTAATTGAGATTTTTGGAGCACATGATAGGGCTTTTGTTAAAACTAACAGACAAACAATTGTAACTATTATAGCTTGTACTTAATTATGCAGCGTATTTTTAGCCACGTCGCAGATTACATGGATGGTCTAATTACGGCCACTGGGCGTTGCAGAATATGTAGGACACACACACACACAAGTATATATATATATATATATCTATGTATATATATGTATAGAGGGGTGGATAAGAGTAGTAATTTTGCTGATTTGGAAATTGTCGCTTGTTGCTTGTCGCTTGTGTGTAGCTCATTTACGTTTGGGCAGCTTGTAGTTTGAGGGCGGATGCAGCTTTAGATGATCCAGAAAAACGGGCTGCATGTCGGCACACCAGGATATCTCCTCACGCGCACGCACCGGCCCATCCTTGCAGGTCAGCCAATAGGTGCTCATCAGTCCCTTGCCCTGCCAAATAGTACAAACATTAGTTAGCTATTGAAGATGAGCTTGTCCGGCCGGCAAATACCTTGACATCGATGAGACCGCGATGCTCGGTCTTGAAACCGCCCACCTGCTCCAATGCCTCGTGCATCTCCTCGGTGATATGTATCTTCTGTGCCTCGCCGGTGCTCTCCATGCGCGATGCGGTATTCACAGTGTCACCGAATAGACAATATCGTGGCATCTTGGTGCCCACAATGCCAGCCACCACGGGTCCGGTGTGAACGCCGCAGCGTATCTGCACAAACTCATCGCCGGCGCGTGGAATTCTGAATACAGACGAGGCGTCCAGCAAATCAAGTGCCATTGTTGCAATCTCGCTGATGTGCTGGTTGCCTGCGACAGGGCAGGGCAGGGTAGGGCAGGGCAGGGGCGGAGGGGCAGACAAACATATGTTTAATTTTTGGCTGTACAAACATATCGCAGCATAAATTAAGGCGCATGGGCACACAAAACCCAAATTAGCGCGTGCTGGAAGGGGAATTGAAGGGGAGGGGGGGGGGGGGTGAGGCTTGGGTAGACGTAGGGGACACGTGCAGTGAGCTGGGCAAAAGAAAGCCTGTTGGATTGACAGGGAAATTTACATAAATTACCGTTTTTCACGGGCAGGCCCGAGGCAACCATATAGGAGTCGCCAATGGTTTCCACTTTGTAGACATCATAGCATTCGATGCGTTCGTCAAATACACGATAGATTGAATTCAGAAAGGTCACGACCTGTAACAACCACATATACAGTTAGACTTCGGCTTAGCTTAATTGTAGATTAAATCTAGCTGCCAATCTTACCTCCAGCGGTGTGCACTCGGCCGCAATTTCGGTGAAGCCCACAATATCGCTAAAGTAAATGGTTACAGCCTCATACAGCTCAGCGGGCACCTGTCGAAGAAGATACCCTTAACATTTAAATGCAAGCACACACACACACACACTTACCTGTTGCGTCTGCTTCAGCTGCATGGCCACACTGGGCGGCAGCATTTGAAAGAGCAGCGAATCACTTTTTCGTTTCTCGCGCTTCAGTTCCTTGGCTTTTATGGATAGATTCATGGCATATAGCTAACAAGTACGTTAAGGTGCTTGTTATTTATATAATTTGCTTAAAGTTAAACTAAAGAGGCTTCCTACCTGTATAGTTGCTGCCGCATTCCTGACTAGTATAATAATAATTGGCGATACTAGCAGCACAACAACTAGTATGGCTATGCCGATGGCCTCCTTGTGATCCGCCTCCATCAGAGTTTTGTCCACATATTCTCTGCAAATGCAATACACAATATGTTGAAGAACAGTCTGTGCTTTGTATGCAGCTCATGGCTTGTGCAGGCAAAACTCGCTAAACTTTGTTTTAGAACATATTAATGTAAATGAGTATTAATTCTTCATTTTAGATTGCAAAATGGCGCTCAAGCAAAATGGCGCATCAGCATACCGATATCGATACCTACATGCACACATAAGCTGTTCACAAGCTCAGCTCAGTACGCAGCTCATTGCTCTTGCTTGCGAAATGCGCGAGCAAAATGCATACAAGCCCACAACTAACAGCTGCAGAGCTGTTATTTACAGTACAATGACTTGCAGTTTTTCAATTTTTTTTTTTTCGTGCTTATCCTTGCCAAGCTAAAGAGCATTACAATATCGATATATCGAGCGATATCGATACTATTGTTCAGTTAGCATCGATAATTATGCCAATCAGCAGTGTTTTTGCCGCGTTTTGATCGAGTTTGGTGAAAATGTGCAAGTTTTATCTTAAAAAGTGAATATAAGTAAAATAAGTGAGTGTGAAGGTAAGTTTTTATATACTAGCATGCATTTATTATACCTCGAATTGCTTTTGGTATGGGGGGATATGGGGGGCTGATCACTTACTTAATTAGACGTCGCAGCGCCTTTTGCAGTATGCGCAGATCGTCCGTGTAGTTGTGCATAAATTCATTGTATTCAATTGCGCTGCGCTCGTCAGATATATTTGGCTTATTCTTAAGCACCATATTGCTCCTGTAAACGGGACGTGTCATGGAAATGTATAAACTTAATCCCTTCCACTCACATGAGCTTGACGCGGTGAAATTTCTTTGTGTTGGTTATGTCCGTGTACATGGGCTTCAGCATGGGCGCGTAGTTGAGCGTGGAGTTGATCAACTCGCGGGCCATAAACTCATAACGCACATAGGACACAAAATTCTCGGCGGTGAGCGGCCCGCGTCCGTAGTAGCGTATGCCGAAGGAGGTGGCTATATTCTGGCACTCGATGCTCTTTAGCAGATTCTTGAAGCCCACCAGATAACTGCAAGAGTGGAGAATTTCAGGCAAATGCTGCCAAGTCACGTGAAAAGGAATGGGGGGAAACACACCGCCAGACACCGCTGCTGTCCGTCTCTTTGATCTGCTCGTTCAGATGGTGGAGCAGGCCTCGATTGATGGACGTATACCAGTTCATCACTTCGGTAATGGAGCTATCCTCCGGCTCCAGGCGCACACGTTCCCGGAACTCATTGAGGCGACTCTGAAACTCGTTGCGATTCAACATGACCTCCCTGTCGTCCTCGTCCTCATCCGGCGCCGTTGGCACACTTATCTCGCTCCAAGTGGTCATGTTGTTCAGCGCGTGATCCGTGTTGGCAAAGCGTTGGGTCAGATTCGCCCTGAAGACACATAGTTTATATGTATAAATAACATATATATAAAGTGCGTTGTGGGTTATTGTCAGTGCGCTGACAAAGGAAAAGTCAATCTTAATCTCAATCTAAACTCACCGCTGCTTGCTGCCGTTGGTGAAGATATAGAAGGCCACCTCGGAACGTTCCAGCTGCAGTCGTGTGACAACTTTACCCAAGTCCGTTGCAATTGTCACCTGGCGTGGGCGTGTGAACACACAAAATGAGATTATCTTAGGCGTGTGAGCGAGTGTGTGTGTGTGTGTGGGTGACAGTTTCTCTCTCTGTGTGTGTGTGTGTGTGTGTGTGTCTATTTGCGCAGTTTTATCCTGTGCTGGGCGTGGTTTTGATTAGTTAGTCGTTGACTTGGTAACTCATTGAATAATTCATCATGTTCTCTCACATTTGCATATACTTATTAATTACTTAGATGTGCATATCCAATATCCGTCATATTCTAAAGTTTTGCTTTGAAAATCGAATACCCTATCGAAATTTGTTGCTCTAGCTGAATTATTTCTAAAGTTGTTGTTGTTTCATTCAATTTAATCGATTAAAAATCGATAAATTGATCGATTTATATGTATGTACGTAGGTGCGAAAACTGTTTTATGCATATTTGGGCTTCCACCCATTTCGGGAATTCCACCCAACTGGGTGAACTGGCTTCAGCGCTGAAATATGCGTGGCCCATGCGCGTTTCATGGTACCCGTGGATGGCTATTTGAATAAACCCAAAGCTGTGTTTACCCAGCTGCTTATTTTATTTTAGCTCAATACAAGATTTTCTTTTCTGTTATTATAAAGACAACTATTTTCTTTTGCTGTATGCGCGTTATGACTGCGTTTAGTTTGGCCTTGTGTCTGGGGAAATCGGATTGCCTGCGCTGCCACGCTCAATAGAATGCCTTAAGGACTTCATTATTTCATCATAATTTCATCTATTTGGATTAACATTTAATTTGTATTGATTGCGGCAGTTGTCTGAATACACTTGAGTGCACTCTGGCTGTGCACAGTTGAAGCTTTCGCAGAATTGACTAAAGGCAATTAGGCGAACCTACAGGCTACAGGCTAAACTTTCAAAATTTCTCCGAAAATCGTTTGGCTGCAAAGTGTTTTCCATATAATCGCCGATATGACTTAAGCTGTTTGTGCACTTTATTTACATATCCCGATTACCAGCTCAAGGCTAGAGTATGCAGTTTTCGTGATAGCCCGCGATTATATTTCCTGCATTTTTTGCATTACCAAGTACGTGACCCAATTCAGGGACTTTTCAGTTTGCTTTCAGTTCTTCGCATTTCCGCTGCTTTTCTGCCACGCCCACGCCACACACACAAACACACACACATACTTGGTTTGTAACTGTGCCAATGCATATCTTGTCTATCAATTCACTTTAGCATCAAGCAATATATTTATTATTTCTCTCTCATATTTTGCACACGCATTTGCATAAAAAGTGTACAGGAACAGGATGTGGCATTGGGCTGCGGGTTGGCTTGGGGCGAGTCCCTTACTCAAGTTGCTTGAGTGCCTGGTCGAGCGGCTGCTTGTGGCATGAGGCACTTACCTGAGCAAACAAATATTGCCGATTGGCGACAGCACCCCAGCCACCCACAGCCAACAGGCAACAGGCAATAGGCGCCCGCCTAGAATGACCATCGCCATGGCCACAGGACACTTGTAAACTCTCCTACATCTGTTTGCTGGTCAAGTGAGCATTGAGTAGGACATGAACCTTCGTGCGTGCATTGTGCCTCTCTACTTGGGCGTATGATTGAATTTCAGCAATAAATTTTAATTACGCACCATTCTTTGCTCTCTCGCATTCTGTTTGCTCGCCTTGGCACTTACCTGCGTCTCAATGTCTGCAACATCGGCCCGGTACTCCAATATCTCCTGCAGTGTTAGCGATGTTTGCACAATCAATGCCAATATTGGTATAAATGGTAGAATTATCATCTGGAAATATATTTATATATACATATATAAGTATGTATGTATACAGTGAAAGCTCTAAGAATGTACAACTGCCTATATCTTTAGTTGCTTTTCTTATTACTTAATATTTTCCTCAGTTATGCTGGGCTTGAACAATTATTATCGTTTGAAACTTTTGATTTAAGAACAGGTCCTGGTTCAGAACAACTTTTATATATTTCAAATCTATCGAAAATATAGGCATAGTTTCAAACCTCTATATATGAAAATTTTCTAATATCTATAAAAATATTTATAATATAAAATAAAATTTCGACAAAATGAATTTAAACAATTGTATTCATAATGAATTTCATAGTTCTATTGATTTTGTGATTCGTCGTGAACTGAAATCTGAATTCGTTGATGTGGAAAACGAAGTTCATGAATTGTACCTGAGGTTCATGGTTTGAACGGCGAACCGAAGCAGGCTTAATTTAATTTGTATTTGTACTACAATGAATGCAAATTGATTATTATTAATTATAAGTTAAACAAAATGCATACCTATATTATTTTTTTGCCATTTTTTCTGGGCAACTAAGTTCAAGAATCAAAGCTGAGCCATTGGTTCGAAACGTGAACCGAAGCGGGTTAATTTTATTGGAATTTCGCTTATATAAATGCAAATTAATAATTAAGTAAGGCAAAATATAAATGTTTAATATTTGTTGCCATTTTTCTGAAGCTCTTCCAGCTCGAAGAAAAAACAAGAGACAGGCGCTGTGTCCGCTTTAGAGAGCTTTTACTGTAGTTTCACTTGAGACCCGAAGAGTTGCTTCAGGTCAGGACTATCTATTCTCATTTGTGTGTGCGTGTGTGTGTGCTTGTGTGTTTGTGTGTGTCTGTGTGTGTGTGTTTTGAAGTGTGATTAGTCTTTATCGCGCACCGTCGCTAATCGCGACACTTCATTTAGTCAACGCACGTGACCGCCCCAACGCCTCTGGTCCCCCGCTCCCGCTGTTCGCTCAGCTTGTGGGCTAATTAAGATGCATACGCTTTGCTAATTAATGCTGGCTAGCTTCGTTCGCTGCCCGCTGCCCGTTGAGGCCCCTCAACTCACCTGCATCAGCTGCAGGCGTCGTCCCGTTTTTATGGCCGGATTCCGTGCTGCGGCACTGCAGCATCTGCCGCTGCCGCCATTGGATATATCCTCGGAACTAATCGAGCGCACGGAAATTTTATCGAGCTGCAGATTGTGATGTGTCTGTGTGGGTAACAGCAGCAAACCGCCGCCGCCAGCACCACCTCCACCGCCTTCTCCGCCTCCACCGCCGCCGCCGCCGCTGCGAGCTGCGGGATGATTCGATTTGCAGTTGCTAATGTTAATCTTAATGCACGTGGATGCTGCGGCTGAGGCTGAGGCCGAGGCTGTTGCATCCACAACCGTTTTCTCAGTTGTTCTCTGCATGGCGTGTTGTGGTTGTCGTCGTTGTTGTGCTTCTTGTTTTGGTTGTTGTTGTGGTTGTTGTTGTCCTCTATTCAATTTGCAAGCTGCTTCACCATTTAGCATATTGTTCATTGCCCATGCGAGCACATCGGGAACGGCTCATAAACACAAACGTTTATGGCTGCATAAAAAGCAATACATAATTGTTGCTTGGCCCGGTTCGATTCAATATCCGTTTCTATCAGACACACTTGTAGAGTTTCAGCCGCAGCACTAATGAGTTAGGGGCGCGTAAAATAATTGCAAAAAAAAAATGAAAGAAGCGAATGATAAATAAACACATATGGGTGGGGGGGTGTAGGGAACCACGCCCCACGCCCCACTCCCCGCTCAGCCAGTCAGCGTCATGTCAGGCACAACGAATTTGATGGATGAGCAGGCAGAGTCTGGGCCTGACCGTGTGGGCATGGTCAAGGATTGTTTTGTCTCCTGTCGCACTTTCAGTTTAATTGAAGTCACATTTGATAGCTGCTGCCTTGGCGCGCAAAAAAAAAAGCAATGAGCGGCGAGTAAATAAAGGATTATTAGCGCAAAGTATATCACAACTGTTTTTTCCCAAGTGTAGCGTTGGGCAAACAATTTCCACAAGGTTCTTCAGCACACATCCGCGCCCCACACAACCTACACACCCCACACACACATATCCTTATTACTGCCTGTTGCTCTGGATGTTTACTTTTCACACACATCAAGCGCATTTATTGATTAAAGTTTTAATTGCGCTGACAAATTGTCATCAAAGTGGGCGTAAATAAACACATTAATATATCAAATAAACATTAAAAAAAGATATGATTAAAAAACTGAGTGAACTTTAGATGCACTTAAAAATGGCGAAAACACTTTTTATATTCATGTATTCAAGTCATAAATTTATCAATTTAAAACGCAGACGCGACATGAAATATAACTTTTCCATATCAATTGCGCCCACACATGAGCAATAAATATTATTATTATTATTTTTTATTGCCCATAACCAAAATTCAATTATCTATTCTGGGGCCAAAAAGCACTGAAATACCGTTATTATCGCGTTCTATTCGCGACCTTTCGTAAGGAATGCGCATGAGTTATTTCCAATAGAAGCGCCCGCCAGCAACTGAACTTAAACCTGTTGAGTTTCGTCCGTTTATAGTAAGGTTCTAGGCATATCCCTGAGGGGGAGCTCTAAACAGCACCCCAAGGACCACCCACAATGTTAGACTAACAGTCAGCTGTTAACTGTCACAGCTGTGTACAGAAGGCTTGTGAGCCAAAACAGAATGTTTTAATAACATTTTTAATAACTTTTTACGATAAATATTATTTATAAATTAAGTTATTTGCCTATTTGTATTATTTAATGTAGTTTCTTTAACTAAAAACCTTAACTGCGCTTAAAAGTAACGGTTGCAATATTTTAACAGCGTACACTGCTTGCAGCACTGCCTGCAACTGCTTGTAGCACTGCTGCCCATGCTTGTGCAAAGCTGCTTGCTATGCTCGCCAAAGCAGCCCAAAGCTAATTGCTATGGCGAGGACACTGCTAACAATTTTCTTTAAAGAAAATCATTTCAATTTAATTGCCACAACACGGCGTATGATTAATAACTGGCCATTAAATTAAGTTATTATACAAATTCAGATAGGCTGTCTGTGTCACGCCTCTTTGTGAACGCGCATGAGATCATCGTGCGATAAATTAGACTCCATTGTCGCCTCCAAAGACCGCCTCGAGCTAGGCGGACTTTCCCAAAAATAAAAAAAAGAAACAACGGCCATTTGCATAACTAGCTGTAAAACTGTTTAAACATTTACAATCGCCGGCGATTGGCTGAATCTAAATCCGCCAAAAACGAAATGATATACGAAACAAGAAAAAAAAATTAACAAAAATATGCTCAGATAATATACATCGAGTGTGGGTAACCAGAAACCAGTTCTAAACAGTAGAAAAAAATAAACAACAAGCAACGCTGCTGTTGGTCGCATCATTGGAGACCACCTTGACTGCCGTCCGCCTCCCGCCCCTCGCCTGCCGCCTCTCGCAGCTCGCGGCTCGCTTCTCCTCGAGCCTAAATACAATTGGATCGGGTAACTTTGAACTGGGCGTCCATAGGTGTTGCTGCTGTCGCGCTGCTATGGTGTCCAAATTGATGTTTCAATAAAGACCATAAATTTATGACTTACGAATTAAGTGGTTGAGAGACATTCCCATCCACGGCCAACGAGTAGGTGTCGCCATTGGTGCCACAATGAATTAATTTGGACAATTTATGAGCCAATCTTGCGACTGACAACGAGCCAGCCAGAGCCGAGATAGCACTAGGCTAGGCGATAGACCATGTATTTTCATCGCTCCCGGTGGTCGATCGATCGTTTCAATTCGAGAAATTGAATTATAATTTGATGCCCTAACGCATCTGCATACATTAACGAATGCGATCGGTCGCCACATAAATCTGGCAGCTGCGACACAATTAGCAGAGACGCCAACTGACCAAAGCCGCCACCCAAAATTGACAGCCACCACCGGGCCGGCCGATCCAGCCAAAATGTATGTACATAAATAGTCTGCATTGGTACGGTCCAACAGCTGAAAGATAAACATAAACGTAAACATTCAGCTGATCTATGGCAAGCCGATGCCGCAATACTCTTTGTAGAACACTTTTACAGCATTAAATAGAATGTTATCTCTTATCCTTCGAGAATATAGCACAATATATCGGAAATGTATATATATATATACTTATAGCTTCAAGTGATACCCACTGTTAATCCAATCTAAACAATCGCTTTAAGTGATTCAATAGCTCTAACATACTCTGATAAACTTAAGGTGGGATGAAGTCGGGTTGAAATCAATGCTGGAAACAAAACCTATTTTCAAGGTAATAAAAAACATGGTTCACAAAATAAAACTTAAGACGAGATTTTGGTTTTTTAAACCGTGAACCGAACCACTTATTTGGGTTTGCAGCCTCATTTCTCGAAAGCGTCATGAAAGTATTGCTTATATCTCGATAAAGCTTGTTACTAATCGTACATATTTTGATAAATATCGATTTATTGCTTATTTATCCATTGAAAAAACTTATCGTTATTTGATCGTCATTTTTTGATAAATATCGATTTGTATCGATTAAAGAATATATTTTGCCTATAACTCGACATAACTTATAATTAATCGTAATTAATGTGCCTTGATTCAAGTATCTAGTTATCTTCAAAAGTTAATTACATATTGAGTTGTTGCTAAAATATTTCTGACAGGTACATCGATAAGTATCGATTAAAGTATCTATTTTGCCTTTTGTTCGGTATACCTCATAATTTATGGTAAATATATTGATAAACATCGATACATAATCGATTTATGTAGCCATTTATCGTCAATAATAAATATAGATTTATTGCCAATTTGTGTATCGATTAATTTAAATCGATATGTATCGATTTATTAGCAATAACTCGATATATCTTAACTCTAGTCAGATAACAGACAGATAAAAAAATATCTATATTCCCTTTTATCCTCTTTTTAACAAAAACGGAAATTATTAGATTGTTTGAAAGCTAGTACATTTTTGTTGTGTATATTTAAGATCCAACTTCTGGCTGGCAAACAAGGCACTTAAGTAAATATGCCCAACTACTCTACAGTTTTCAAAGGCTACGCAAGAGCCGGAACCGAGAGCTGTCCACATTCTGCAGCCTTGCCATGAACTGACTCTTAAAATGTCTCATTTAAATAACTTGCATGCATTTAGTCATCCTTTTTGTCCCAAGTTGGCAACACCCGGGCAACAGGCTTCGCAGTCAACGTTGTTGTTGTTGTTTTTGCTGTTGTTTTTGTTATTGTCGTTCCAGGCATGCGCCCTGGGCGCAGAGCGTCGGGCATCGCTGACGACGTCAACTTAAGTGGCCCGGCGTGGACAAAGTCGCCTCGTTGCGGCCACTCGAGAGTGTCGAGAGTATGTAAATCTTATGCTCGGTTTGCGATTCTTGTTGGGATTGCTGCAGCAGTTGTCTTATGGGTTGATCGATATTCGTCCATGTCAGCTGGTTGGGCTGTGGCTGCGGCTGCTGCTTTTGTCAATCCATTCAATTGTTTGACACAACAAAAGGATCAACATGTGTGCAAAAGATTTACATCTAGCGTGTGTGTGCGCGCATGTGCGTGCGTGTGTGCGCGTACATAATGGAGACATTGGGACTACGTTTTTAGAGGGTATTATAATTATGTCATAAAATGTGTAACGCATAAGAGATGACATGTTTGGCTTTGGGATATCAAGGCTGCAAAACCAAAATAAGATGTTGGTGTTTTGGTTAACGGTTCGAACCAAAGTCGCTTATTTCAGGTTCGCTTTGTGAACCTGGCTTTTCATGTCCGTTATCCTTTTTCGGTTCGGTTTAACGTTCGGTTTATAGCATCAAAAAAGAACGGTGCTCTGGCTACGAACCGGTTCGATTCAAGCCCGGTCTACAGCCTTGATATATAGTCTTGATCAGTATCAACAGCTGAGTCATAGCCAGCCGAGATATCGCCGTCTATAGATTTCTATCCGTCAGCTATCCGTCGTATCCGTCAGCTTTAAAGCTGACATGCAGATTGTGTGTTGGTTGTTGGTCGGATCGAGTCACTATATCACTATATAGTTGCCATAGGTAAAAATCAGGTTCTTATATGAACAACTTTGTTGCTCTGTCAGATATCTTAACAAAACTTATCAAAACTTTACTTTTAATAGTTTAACCATAATGCGTACGTATAATCTTATCAAAATCTGAGAACGATA